TTTTCTAGTAGTATTAAAACAAATACTTTTTAAAATAAAAAAAATAAGAAACCAAGTTATAACATTTTACAAACAAAATTCATGGATTTAAATAAAAAATCCTTTCAGAATATGTAATAAATAAACAATGCTGAGACCAATTGTTCTTTCTTTCTTTCTTTTTTTTTTTTGGGTCCAAGAATTTGTTTGGTAAATGTATAGCTGAGATTTAGACACTACAGTATTAGTGCTCAGATGGGATGGTGCATGAGGGATCACATTTTGGGCTTTTAAATAGTATTAATCCAAAATAAAAAAGCAGAAATTAACTGTGACACAAGTGATATGAAGTAGCCATTCATACTTAGAAAATATCAGTGGTCCCAGAAATGATCCCTGAGGAACACCATCATAAAATGGAGTAAGTTACAAATTACTGACCTATAATATAGTAGACGCGGGACCTTATAGAAAAATTTAGACTTTGGAGAAATATATCTATTATCTTTGTTGCTAAAATTTTGGGGAAAAAAGACCAGTACCAGTCTTTTAGATGTGAATATAAAGTTAGAGCTTTCAGCTAATTAACTTAAATGGGAAATGGGTGAAACAGGTTTCCTTAGGTTTGGCAGGACTTTCTCTAATCTATACAAACTATCAAAATGTAAAAGCAATATGCAATGTGTTTATCTCCTGGAAATGATCTCAAACTAATTTAAAGTCCTATCACTTTTGTTTCATAGCAGAGGAAACGGGCGTCGACTTAGGCCAGAAGAAGGACTCTTATTTCTACTCCTGTTGTCACAACAACTGATGCTGAGGAGCAGGACAGGAAGTGTTTGCATTCCCTCAGCTGGAGTCAAACCTGGAAATGCTGGAAAGCTGTAACTCATCTATGAATGTGGTACCAAATCACAAAAAGGAAAATCAAACAAAACTCTTTATACTTTGTTGGATATGTTTCTTTTTTTCTTTTGTGCCATAATGAACTGAGAGCTGCAAGACTTTGGGGAAGAGGATCCTCAACTGCTGGGTGGTGAGGGACTTAAAGACCACCACGCCCACTTTTTTCACCAAGTTATTCATATTTATCACCATATCAACTTGTGACTTTCCTGCAGCCCACAGGGCGATAAGCCTCCCCAAGTTCACAGTGTTAAACAATCAGAAGCAACACTGTGGTTGGACAACAGCCTGCAGTGGTAAGGGTGTGGGATCCTCACTGAAGCCAGACTGAAAGAGAACTCGATTGATGCTGTGTGTTTTAGCAGTTGCTGTGTTTTGGGAGGGGGAGTTGTTTGTTTGCAAATGCTGATTTTGTTTACCTCCAACTGTATTTAACATTGTTGTTGAAACACATCTGTCAGTCCTGCTCATGTTCAGTGGAGGCTACACAGATGGAGAAGCCAGCTAGGATGAAGTGTGTCAGAAAACTACTTGTGTTCCTGCTCTTAATTAAAGCTGGGGTAGGCAACATGACCCATAATAACCTTTCAAGAGGGCGCTAGACTCATGCAACTCCTCTACACTCTGATTTTAGGCTTTAAAAGAAATCAATCAGTTAAGTTTAAAAAAAGAAAAAGTCTGAGTAAGAATTCATATGTGGTAGCTTATTGGGTTTTGCAGAAGAATTTTTACCCAGAAGAGTAGGGTTTGAATCCTGTGTGGAGACCAAACTAAGCTCATGCTTCAGGATGAAGGTTGTAGATTCTGGCACAATCTTGGTTTGTCTTTTCTAGTTTTCTACCCGCTGCATTTTTAAGTGAAATACTTGAAAAACTGGCAAAACACACAACATTTTTCTTTATAGAGGCCTTTACAGTAACAGTACATCTTTTGCCATGTGTCAGCCACGAAAGCGCCGTACGCTGCCACTACTCAGACCTTGTTGTGCATTTGTCCTAGTTGCCACTCAAGGTAGTGCACCAACACCCACAAAACCCCCCAAAAACTGTGGCCCAAAAAGCATAATTCCCAAAGACAAAATAATTTAAATAATAATGCCTGAATTGGGTGTAAATTTCCACCCCAAATAAATAAGCTGGTTTTAAGGAGGTGACTAACAACACGCCCACATATCTGTAATTAAATTGCATGGCCTGAGCTGCCTAAAAGAACATTTTTAGGGAATGTTACTTTTCTACAAATAATCTACTGTTTTTCTAAGTTTGAATGCATCTCTCAAAGAAAGAAATATCTGACAGATTTCTAGCAGGAAAATCTTGGAATGTTCAAATGATTTCAGGAAGAAGCTCTTCTGCAGAAGGACGATCAGCGAAAAGCCTCGTGTGCTAACATTGTAATGTCCCACAAACATTTAAAGCTATATTTAAGATTCGAGTCACTAATTTATTGCCTTTTAAGTTGTACTGCGCAATGACTTGTAGGTTGCTGCTTTGATGTGTTGATGTTCAATATTGATGCAAATATTTTTTAAAAAACAACTGATGTCCACATCTGTTCTGAAAAATAAAAGGCTCATTCCAAGAATGTTTCAGAACGCAGATAGATTGTAAGTTTGAATTGATCCACAGTATTTTGCTTGTGTGTAATATTTGGCAAAGACTGACAAAAATACTGTATATGCGCAATTTTGGCATTGGATTGCATATCAGCATAAATCTTTGCACGTTTGCCTACAGAAGTGAATTCGAGGAATACTAAAAACCTTTTTTGATTCAGGTTGGTATGTTTGGCTTTTTATCCCACACTTACAGCCCACTTTAGTGGATCGGACCAGTGAAACTCCTTTTTCTTGATATAAATAAGTTTTAACTACACACTTAATCCATGACATATTTTAGTATTAGAAAAATAAGTGCAATTTCAAAAGCATAAAAAAATGCTGCAATGAAGGAAATCTGTCACCATGACTCTTTGGGCATAAATTGTAAGAAATAAATGGAAAATAATGGAAAAAGTTGTAACTTATTGCCCAGACTGTCCTGTCGTTATAAAAAAGAAAATTTTGATAATTCACAAAATATCATATTAAAAAAATATATATTTCTATATATCTATAGTAGTGAAAACATACTAATTTGGATCCTTGACTTGTGTGATTTATTTTAATTAAATAATAATGTGGTATAATGTAATTATTTTAAAAACTGACATTATTGGCTTTAAAAAGCTTCCAAGTATCTCACAGATCTTTTTTCAGATTTATAATTATTAATCTCAAAACAAAAAAAAAAGATACGAGCCACAAGATGCTTATTTCATGTCTTCTTATATATTTATATAGCAGTTGTTTTGACAGGTCAGTGGTTGAGATCTAACATAATTACACTGGAATGAGACATTTCTTGTTGGGCAACTGTAAAAAGGCATTAGTAGGGAAACTTGGCTCTCACAGGGGCGACATTGTTCCTTAAAAATATCTCCAAAGAAATACACTCTAAGGCATTGGCAGATAACACACAGACAATATTAAGCTTGAAGACAGAGCGAAACGTGGCAAGAACACATACCCAAGTGCAAGCGTGGTGACAGGAGTCCGCCGTTTCAAACGTTTTTGCTCCCTCCGAAAGACTTTTGTTTCCCCGAGAAGTGCGGGGGTCAAGAACGAGGGAGGAGGGCACTGACCCCGCCGCTCTCCCTCCCTCCCTCGTCACCGTTTGTGCGTCACAGACCAGCGAATAAATAATGACTACAGAGCACAGCACACACACTGGAGCCAACTGAGTGCTACCTTTTCTTTCCAACTGCAAGGGCAAGGCTGAGCGTTCATTTCGCGTTGCACACCATTAGTTGTTGGACGACGTGAGCCTGCAGTCCAACAACAGTGGAGCTGAATGTCCCAGGATGGCACGAAATCTTTCACACTTTAACTTTCAAACAGTTAATCTTTTTTTTTTTGGCATGAAATGTTCGAATCTAGAGTCTATTTGTAGCTGCAAACCAAATCTACATGTATTAAAAAACAGTTGATTCCATTATACTGCATTTTGTTTTTCCCAACAACACCAGGAAAGACAAAGTTGGCATGGTTAAGACTACTCCAGGCAGCCTGTCATATCTTCACTGGTAGTCCTGGATCTTGAAGCACCAACTAATTGATGTGAGTCATCATGAAGAACTGGAAATGGAGAGGAGAGTGGATTTAATATAAGTAACAATTAATATTTCCAGGTTATGGCGTCCTGCGTGTACGTTGACTCAGGCCTTTGTGGCAGGTGTTGCCAGCATCGTGCGTCCCGACAACTGGACCACAAGGGCGAGCTGGTTGTGGTGGTTCAACAGTGTTCAGATTAGAAAGAAAAGCTTTAAAAAGGACACAGAGAACTTCAGCTAGTTTAATTCTAGACAAATACAACGTTTTTCTGACACGGCCTCAAACTGCACGGATGTAAACATAATCCCGATTTAACTCAGTAGAAGTCACAAACCGAGCCCAGCTGTGACTATCTTTTCTAGCATAAAACATCTGCCTCTAACCGCACAAAGCTTCATAGGACACCTGACCTACACCTCCAACAAACGTGAGAAAACAAAACAAAAAAAGATGAAATGTGTTTCCAAGTCTCATGATTGATGTCCCGGGTCCGGATAGTTTTTGTGCACTCGTAGCAGGTGTGTAGATGGAGGTAGGGAGTGATTACCAGGGTAAAACTACATGTAATGCAAGCATAAATAAACTGCAAAATTGTTGGATGTGTGTCAGTGTATACATAAATTATATTATATTATATTTTTTATTTATAAACCTCACAATTTGTTTATTTTTTTAAATGTAGTTTTCTCCTAAAAGCCCCTCCATACATCCAACTGAATACTGAACATTAACAGTGACTGTAACTGAGTAACCTCCATGTGCTTCCTCACTGTAGTGACTCTGTAAATAATGATCCTCTGTGCGTCACTCCTCTTCTTCATCCTCCTCCTCCTCCTCCTCCTCTTCTTCTTCTTCTTCATCTTTGAGCTCCAGGTATTCGACCCCCTCCTCCTCCATTACTGTCTCTCTGTCGTCTTCACTAGTGTCTGATTTATGCCTCTCTGCATCACCCTCTTCCAACAGCTCCTCCTCCTCCTCTTCTTCTTCAGCCAACAGGTCTTCCTCCAAGACATCCCTCTCCTCCTCATATGAGGAGATGGGCGAGTAGTGGGGGAGGTCGAACACGTGCGGGCTGCTGGGAGCATCAGAACTACTGGGAGGAGGCGACGTTGCAGGAGCTGCGACGGGAATAGTGATAGGTACTGGGATGGAAAAAGCAGGAAAGGACTCTGACGCGCACATGCCGGCACCGGTGCTTATGTCCCAGGCCCTCCTGGCAGTCGGGTTAACCTTGCAGGTAGTGTTAGTAGCAGAGGAGGGAATGACCGCCATGCCCAGCCCCGAGGTGAGGGCTGTGGGTTCAGGTGTGTACTCTCGGATCTCGCCTGCTTCTAGCGGTTCCCCGCAGGGGTCATGGGCACTACAGGACAGCTTGCCGTCCAGTTTGGAGATGAAGAGCAGGCCGTCACGGTGTTGGCAGCAGTAGGAACTGACGCACAGTTCGCAGAAGGACGCAGCCTCCTTACTGCATATGTCACACTGGTGCCACGGACATTCCCACCGACCTACAACAAATGCAAGAACATTAAGGAATCTTTATTTCACTGAGGACCACAACAACATTTCCACCAGCTGTAATAAACATTTGGTGGCATAGATCTGTTTTGGGACCATCCTACATTTTATTTTCATAAAAACTGGGTGATATTGTGTGGATTAGAGAAAATCCTAAATAAATTAAGTCACTGACCTGCAGGCCTCTTGGTGAGGTTCAGGCAGTCTGCATGGTAAACCTTGGGACATCCAGGTTTTTTACATGACACCATCTGTCCTCCGTCTCCGCAGATGAAACACTCGTCCTCCCTTTCTTTGGTCAACACCACCTTTTTCTTCCTCTTGCCGTGACCTCTCCTCTTCAGCTTGCGATCTTTATCATCAGGCGGGGGGTTGTTCTGGTTCAGAGAGCAGAGGAGTAGGTTATTCCCAAACAAACACAGGTGGTTATTAATTTTTGTGGCGTGTCCCTCCTCTCACCTTTGGCCTGAGGCCTAAGAAGCCGCTGCAGTTTGATGCTCCACATTTACACACTGTCTTCCTGTTGCCCAAACACTCCAGGTTGTAGTTGAAGGTGAGCTCTGTGCCTGAAAGGATAAACACAAATGAGTGAGAGTGGCTTGCTGGCATCACCAAACATCAAGATAGAAACAACTTCTATCTTCAGATCTGTAAGAGGCGGCGAACCTGCGGCAATGTCGATGAGAGCGAACAGTCCCACCCGGGTGTCACCGTTCACCGTCCACTTCTGCGTCTCACAGTTTGGCTGACAGCTGTGGTTCATGAAGCGTGCCTCGTTCCCCTTCGGCCCAGCATCAATGATCCGATCCTAAAACACAAAGTCATCCAACAAGAAATTAAATTAAACTTAATTACTGTATAGGTCTCTAGTTTGAAGTTGTAGCTATAACCTGTACTCAAACACAGGTCTGGCCATGAAATTTCCAAAGTGCCAAGAAAGCATCTACTGCTGGTAACAAGGTTAAAACTACCAAACACACGATTCTGTTAGAAGTGCATTCATACCTATCAGGAGGTATTGATTGAAAAAAGAGACGGCAGGAAACAAGAGATGTAGGAAAGCCATTCATGTTCAGAGGCTTTACTCCAAAGCTGTTCTGTGTAAGTGAATAATTTTAGATCTTAATTAGATTTAATCTAACCATGTGGCAGTTTGCTACTGTTTTTTTTTCTTAAACCATAATTTGGACTGCTTTAAACACTCTTCTGTGTTCCCTGTTAAGGCTCAAGTCCTTGGTTAATGTTGATGCACTTGTTATTTCTCCTCAGAACTACATTGACCACTTTATCCTCTATACTCGCTCAAAAAGAAAAGCGACACTACCAGTTACTAGACAAAGTTGGGGAGGCCACTAACTGAGCTCTGACCCAATGTGACTGGGGCCTTATTCACTTGATCCAACATGGCCACCATGATTGTCACACATTCATAATAACTGACAAGTTAATGTCACGTAGTAAGCGGCCACGTAGCTGCAAAACCTCAGTTAGTGCATTCTGTAGTCTTGAATAGGGTTGCTCTTGAGGTTAGCAGCGTTTTCACAGTTATAGTTCATTTACTCTGGTCCAAATCAGTTAATGGTAGGGCTGTTCGATATAATGATATGTATCGGATGACGTCTAATGTTTCATTTTACGCTATCATTTGTTTCGTGGTGTCGCAAAACAAACTGTTTACGGCAATATTTTTTCATCGTTTTGATGGTCACTGTAGTGGCTATATTATTTTCTTAAAGTTCTCTCTTTCTCTTATATTTAATATAACCACACTACAGACAGACAAGCGCTTGTTTTAATGCCTTGTCGTTAGCAACAAGGTAACAGCATCACGTGTCCGCTTGTTTATTTTCCAAATAAACCTTTCACAATAAAGCTCAAGATCCTGTTGAGACTTTTCAAAATAAACTGAATCATATGAAAGACGATGCAGAGTGTTTTCCGATGAAAAGCAACATAGAGCCGTCAGGTGCTAAAAATAATAAACCTTAGACTCAAACGTTAGAACAGGCTTTTCCCCGCAGCACGCTGTGTAATAAATACTCACAAAGAAAACGGCGGCTGTTACAACTTATGTCTAAAAATGTATCGTTTCATGCATCGGTTACAACACTCGACTCCAGGTACATGACGCCCAGCTGGAAACACTTCCCGCAAGTCGAGCTGCGCGAGATTCACAGAATTTACGGAAAATGTAAAATTTTTGTGATTTATATCGTTATCGGACGATAGATGTCTTATATGAGATTTTGGTCATATCGCACAGCCCTAGTTAATGGGTTTGTAAACTTGAAGTATTTTCCTGTGGTTTGGTTTCTTTCCACTTAGTTATTAGGGAAGATATGATGAAACGATAATTTACATTTTACAGCTGGTTGCCAGCCCATACAGACCTTTGTACATCGAAGTTACCCTGTTGCATCCCACAATGCAAAATATATGTGGCTACGGGAAGATGTTAATTTAAACTTCCAACGTTCACCTGATAGTTGGTTGAGGTCTGATCACTTTCACACCATAAACGAATCGGTTAGGAACTGAATGAGACCTCCTCCTCCGAAGGGTCTTGGTGCGGTTGTTTTGCGATTAATGTGTACACACCTGCATAAGTGAACTGAACGTAACAGGCTAATGTGAAAACACCCTAAAAACACACGTGGCTCTGAGTCGTACCTTGTCAAGAGTTAACATGTAGAAGTTACAGATGTTGTTGTCCTGAGCGTGTCTGATCCTCGACCTGCACTCCTCCTCATCGATCACCTCCCCGACATACTCGCTCACAAACTGACCCTGAGAGAACAAACACATACGGGAAACGTGGATCATTCACTCCTGGCTTATGATGGGAATTCCAGCAGCAACAGCAGCAGCACTGCGGTTACCTTCTTAATGTCATGGACACAGCGGAGCCCCCAGCCTCGAGACAGCGTCCTAAAGATCTCTACTTGGCTGTACTGACGCTTGGTGAACGCCTGGTTGAGGCACCGCTCGGCCGCCGGGCAAACCTGCAAGTAAAGAAGCGGCCTCGGTCAGATGCTCGACACCTGGCTGCAAAGTCCAGGGCAGGCAGCCAGGGAGCCGCTAAAGTTCCCGATTCAACTTTAGAAGATCTGGAGCAATACAACTATTACGTCTTAGCCCCACTAAACTCCAATTGGTCAAGCACAGCTATTGGTGGCAGCATAGTAGATTTTTAAACGCATTTCTTAACATCCTGAAAGTAGAAAATTTCACTAAATAACTAAAAACACTTAGATCATGCACCTTGTACAATAAAATTCTAGAAAAAAATTAAACCAAACTAACTGGATTAAAATACTTGTAGAAGCAGTCTGTATGATTTAATACACCTGTGGCCATCGAAGTGACTGGAACACCTGAATTCAATGATTTGGATCAGTCAGTGAATCCATCTGTAGCTGTGCATGAGCGTGATGAAGGTGTTTCGGTACCTGTGGATGGCATTCGTAGAGCAGCATGCGGTTGATACACTCGGAGTCCATCCCACATGGACTATCATCTGTCTTCTTGCAGTTACAGCGGGGGATCTCTGAGAGGTCGGCAGTGAAGATCTGAACCTTTCCTATTGGTCGATTAACCTGAATGAGTCAGAAAGGTGTGTATCACTCATCACCGAGCATTACAATCAAACCTCATTTTTTAAGTCAACTTATGAAGAAAGCTTTTTACAGTTTCTTTGTGATTTAAGCAGCTTGATTTCAAAGTAAAGGCACCTCCATTACCTTAATGTGTTTGTATGGAGGAGGCTTCCTGTCGTTCTTCCTGTCCTCTTGAAGCTGCCGAAGCTCCTTCTCTGCCTGCAGCTCACGGAACCGCACAGCCGCCTCCTCCAAAGCTGAGGAAGGACGTCAAAAGTCAGCGATCGCAAACACAAACCATGATATCAACTGATCAAAGGACAAATTTTACTTTTGCCTACCTTTTTTGTAGGTCGCATCAACCCCTTTACCCATCTTTTCCTTGCTGTTGGCGTCCACGTCCATGTAAGGGAAGACTCTGGCCTGGTAGGTCCACAGGTAGTCGTTGGAGCCGAAGAAATGAACGGGGAACTCGCCGACATCGTGCCTCATTCTCTGGATGTTTTCTGGGATTGTTTTGGGATGGCTGACCTCTGCCGGCCACCACCTTATGGAGCAGAAAATGGGAGAATAAAGGATTTGATGACGTGTGTCTGACTTTTCCGATTTAAAAGACTCTGTGGGTCATAGCTGACCTGTAGCGCCCAACTTTGACCCATACAATGTCTTTATAGCGAGGCTTCTTCCCGGCCTTGCAGTCGTTGCAGTACCAGCTGCCTTTGGGCATCTCGATGTTCAGACACTCCCGATGAAATGCAGCAGGACAGGACTCACAGCAGAGTAGGCTGCCCCCTGGAGCACAGGAGGAGGGACAGCATTGCATTAACCTCTCATCAATGAATCATGAAGCCAGCCGTCTGACAGCTAAAGCTTGTCAGACGGCTGGTCTCACATTTAGTCCTATATGTACTCTGTATGTATACAGAGGAGTTTATGGTTGGCTCAATGACTTTAAGGTCCTGTTGCTGTAAAACAAGCCCAAATCATCACACTTCCACCATCAGCAGCTGGTATAAGATGTTGCAGCTGATTGGCTTGTTTCGTTTTTTCGCATTACAGTCAAACATCTCCCCTTTGGTCTCATCTATCCAAAGGTCTTTATTCCAGTAGTCTTGTGGTTTGTTCAGATCCGACTTGTGCGAAAACTGAGCTGTAGTGCCATGTTCTTTCTCCTACAAACCTCTCAAAACAAGCCATACTTGTTCATTCTTTTTTTCAAATTGTACCATCAAGAACTTCAGGTGAGGCCTTGAGAGTCTGACATGCAGCTCTTGGGCTTTTTGCAGTTTTGCTAAACAACGTTGGGGTAAATTTGCTGGAATGTCCACTTCTGGGAAGTTTGGCAGCTGTGTTCAGTTTCTACTTGTGAATGATCGTTCTCACGGTAGAATGATGGTCTTTAAATTGTTTGGAAATCTACTTGTAACCCTTCCCAGACAGATAGGCAGTAACAACTGCTTCTCTAAGATCATTACTTGGCTTGGCTGCCACAGAGTCTGCGGGACTCTGTGGTGATTTTGTGGGAGTCCGTTGGACTCTGTGGCACTATCCCACTGGGTATAGTAAACAATGAGACACTGGAAAATACCAAATTTTCCAGAACACCTGCCAGAGAAGACCAAAACTGGAAACTTCCATTCCTAAAAAAGTGGGAGCTCCCAAGAGCCTTGGGTCTTTGATTATGTCCAAATGAGTCTATGGCCTAACCCTTTCTGGGTGCTTTATGTCTATTTTACTTCAATTTTGTCCATGTTTTTAAATGTATTAAAACTGTATTTCACTAAACGCTTTTCTGCCTGTTGAGGCTGCATCTCCAGTGGATTTTGCATGTTTTTGGACCAGTTTGAAAGTTTACCTTAGAGCAGAAATTTGGTCTTCAGCTCTAGCCTTTGAAACAACGATGATGATGATGAATTAAACAAAAATCTTAGTTCTTGTGGAAACAATAAAAGGTATTCTTAAGTTTTTCATACAGTAATTCTGGATTTTGGTTCAGTTTTTGTTAAATAAATAATGACAGTGACATATGCCACGTGTTGGTGATCGTAAAATATTTTGTGAGAACCAGATGATTTATTAATATCCTGACATAAAACCTTACCGGTACTTTATTTTCCACCTGACTGTAATTCGTAACCGTAAGGTGAAATAAAATATAAATCTGAGGTGAAGAAAACAGCTCAGCAACAAAACCAGTTTAGTCTGGTCTGCAGTTTCCTTTCGCATCTGTACCTTCAGTGCAGACGAAGCACCAGCTGACGTTCACGTGTTCGTGATTCTTGACGCCGCGGCGGGGGGTGAAATGGTTAGGACAGACAATGCTGTTGTTGGAGAGTACAACACTGCCCGCTGCCATACAAAGATCTGTAGCGTGATAGGCAACCGGGCAGCGCACGCAACGTACCAGCCGACCTGTAGACGTAAAGAGGAGAGTAAATGCCACGGCGCAAGACGGGTGATTACAGCGAAGGTGCGGTCTGAGCGTCCTCTGATTACCTTTAGAGATGTTGGAGCTGTTGGGATTAGCGATGAAGCAGGTGAGGCAAACGTGGATGGAGCAGCGGAAACCTCTGTTCACGGGTACGGTCGGGGCGTAGTTGGCGATGCACTCGCCATGATAAAACTTCCCGCACACAGGGATCATGCAGCGCCGCACATCCTCACCGCGCTTTTTACACACAAAGCAGGTGTGGAGTCCTGGACACAGGAAAAGTCACAGGTTTAAATGATCACCTAAAAAAATATATCTTCATATTAATTTAACAAAATGAAAACAGCAGATAATAAGTGGCCTCAATTCTCCCTCTAATCGCTTCCAGAATGCAATGAACACAAATAAATAAAACTATAATTCCTAATAAAACTATGATTATTTTAACAATTCTTTTTAAATCTGTTTTTAATCGTGAACTATTTGTTTAAAACTTCCCATGCTAGACATGATTTCAATACTAAACATGTTTTTCCATTGTATGAACAAAAATAAATAAAATGGCAAACATGACAGGCATTTTTTTAAAAATTATTTAAAAAAAAAAATTTAATGATTGCTAAAACAGACTAAAAAGTCTTACAAACAGAAATAAAATTGAAACCAAAAATAAAGAAACATTTTGAAAACTAAAAATAATAAATAAATAATAACAATAAATAAATTTGTGTAGTGGTCTATGTGTAGTGGTTTACATAGATTCCCAGTTTGATCCTGGGAGAAGACACAAAAAATAAAAAATAAAAGTCCGCCCACTGCGGTGACCCGTTGTGGATTAAGGCAACATGGGGAGTGAAGAAAAATCCAAACGCTTGGATATTTCTTATGCTAGAACATCTTTAGACTTTACCGTCTGACCTTTTGTAGTGATTTTTACATTTGGAAAATTCACACATCAAGAATTAAATTATAGGCTCTACTGACATCAGGGAACAGCTGTTAAGTTTTTACCTGATTTGCACTCTGGACAGACAAACTTCCCCTTCGGTGCTTCGGCCAGAGATATGCAGGGCAGGTGGAAAGCGCCACAACACTGACCCTCACAGAGCAGCAGCTCCCCGGTCTTCTCACACACCTGAGCAGAGATCATAGCATAACTAGAATGACTCAGAGAGAGGGAACTTTACGTCTCATGTATGCATGGTTTGCGAGGTGGATATGAAGGCTTCAGAGTTTTTAGAGGAAAACATCTAATGTCTGCCAACTGTTGTTTAGATCTAACCATAAAGTAATGAACTGAACAGAAATGGAAGCTGTGATAAAATGTTTGAATACAGCAGCAGAGAAGTCGCTGTAGAGCTTCTTGTAAAGACACAAGTAGCGTTCTAATCTATCACTGCTAAAATGAAACCTTTTCTTATGGAGCTTCTGGACACATTTCTAGGGATCTTTTTGTCACTAAACTGCTGAAAGCTCACCTGACATATGTTCTCCTTCATGGAAGCCGGGCCTCCTCGGTCCCCTATGATCTTCCTCGTAGGTAAAAGTGAGTCGTCACACAGTGACAAGTCGTCCTTCATGGAGCAGAAACTGTTGTCTAGGCTGGATGGTTCACCCTGAGGAGACAAAGCAGGACTTTGCTGTTGCATAGCAACAATTTTAATTATTACTGTACGTAAAAAAAGTAAAGCTGACCAACCTCTGACTCTGCTCCGTCCTTTTTGATGTCCTCGGCTTTACCGTCGTCCGGTTGAGGATCGTCGACATCGGCTGGTGCCGTCTCCTCCTGTCCGGGTTCTGGCGAAGACGGCTCTGGAGCAGAAGGTGCAGGAGTGCTGGTCTGAACCAAAGGTGTGGGTGTACAGAGGTCAGAGGTCGTTGCCGGTGTGGACTCTGATGCTGGAAGTGGCTTACTCTTTGATTTTAGGGGTGGTGCTGAGCAGTCTATGTGGAAGAAAACCATATTTGAAACAGTAAGACAGAAAAACTAGCTTTTCAAGATTTTCAACTCATAACAACAAGGACTTCCTCTTAGTATCATATTAAATTACATTAACTGTGCAGATTAAATACGCTTGGCTGTAAATTCATCTGGACTCCTCAGAGCGTATTTTAGTTGGCTGCTTTCCCAAATTTAATTTACAAGGAAAAAAGAAAATCTGGTGACTTGGAATTTTTTTTTATGTTAACTTCTTCTTCTTCTGTGTCATAAAATGTTTGAAACCCACTGAACAAATAATGTAATTACACTTTATAGATTTAACATGTACACAATGATTATTTTATTTCATTTACAACATTTAATTACTTATTATATTTTCTCCTTTCTAAATCTGCTGCTTTTCCACTCATGTTTTGTTTGTTTTGTTTTCTAAGCCATCACTAACACTAACTATGAGTCAGTCAAGCATAAATATACAAAACTCAAGGGATGATGTGTGTCGTGTCGACATATAACAGATAATTTAGTAAAGCACTAATTCTAAATTGTATCTCTGGACACTTTGTTACTAGCGGTCTGTCACAAAAACACTATTTGTTCTCATTTCTTTAATAAAAACTATGGAAAATACCAAAGATAACACAGACATAAAATTGTATTTTTACACTATTAATGTGATTCCCAAAGAGTTGAAAACTGGGCAAGTGGAGGAGAAGAAGAAAAAGTGGCAGATGAGTAAAAATCCTCTGATCAAGCATGTCTTTATAAGCCTGCCTCTAATACAGATATAGGCCTGCTACCTACTGTTAAGTTAAATAAAAGTAGTCCTGGATGAGATACCGCACACTACAGTGTAATTTAGAAGGCTTTACGAAAACTCACTGACCAGATTGAGGAGTTGGAGGTGGATTAGTCTTCAGTGTTTTGACCTGGAACAAAGAGGAACACTTTCAAAAATGACTGCAGTTAAACCAACATTGTTTTAGTCTATCAAACAAAAAAAAAGTTTCTTTTTTTGCTTTGTTTGTAGCTCTTATCTGCAATTCTCAAAAGCATTTTAAGGCTATATACTCCATCCATGCCCATCCATCCATCGTTTATTCCAGCCAGGTTGGAAAGGGCATCAGTCTGAGATGAAATGCCCACACCTCCTCCAGCTCTTCTCGGGGGACACAAAGATTCCAAGCCAGTGGAGAGACATAATCCCTCCAGCATGTAGGACAAGCCCAAAACACTTCATCTAGGAGATGTCCTGGAGGCATCCTAGTCACATGGCTGATCCAACTCAACTGGCTCATTTCGATGTGGAGGAATCAACAGCTGTACCCTGAGCCCCTCCTGAGTGATTGAGTCCTGTCTCTAAAGGTGAGCCCAGCCTCTCTTCAGAGCCTTTTCAACACTTGTATTTGTGATCTTAATCTGCTCTCGCTTCACCACAGAAAACTGGATTTATGCACCAGTCCATCTGTTGATCTCCATCTCCGTCTTGTCTCACTTGTGAACAAGACCACGAGGGAGCTCAGAGAGAAACTTCAACCTCAAGTAGAGGCTCCACGCATCTCTTGCTGGGGAAACTGGGGGTGCTCATCTACACGATATCAGTTCTAAAGACATTCTTAGGAGTGATACACAGAGGATCAGGGAAGAACTACACGCTGTCAAAGTTTTATTTTGTTTTTGAAAGTCACTGACTTCTTTTCTTAGCTGAGATTGAATGTAAGGTGAGTGATGTTTAAAATAAAATATTTAAAAACAAATAAATTCAATTAAAAACAAACACTTTTAATCTTTAAAGGCACTTTTGGCTCTATAAAATTGTTTATCTGTTTGTTTGTTTTTTAACTACACAATAATCTGAAATAATCTGATCATCTCATAGTCTCAGCTTCATCTCCACAGCATTCACAGCATAAATCCTTTACTTGTATTATTTATACTTATGTTTGTTATTTATAACTCAAAGCAAAGCTTACATAAAATGAAATACACTTCATTATTTGAAAGCCCCAGACTTTAAGAAGCTCTTAAGTTAACATAATGCGTGTTTAGATGCGCTTAACTAAACATCTTAACTAAACACGTGTGGGAGGATTAACCCTCCATCATCTCTTAAATGCTGGAATGACTGGAAACACTCAACCGGTGCTTATGTTTGTGACCGGAGGCCAATCAAACATCCCTACGTTGTTTTTATTGGACTGAAAAAGGATTCTAATGTTTCTAATGCCCGTGGTGCAGTGCTGTTTATTTAAGTAGCACAGTGCATCGGTCATGCATTTGCCTACATGCACATTGGTGTTTCTAAGGTTTTTTCAACACAGTGGCAAGTTTCTATTATTTGACTATAACTGAACATCAACTATGACCAAGCATCAGGTGGAGGCAGGATTCATCCAGAGGAGAAACTATTCCACCCTATAAACCTGAAATCTGCGCTACAGCTGACCTGAATGGTGTGCAGAAAAATCCTATACTCCAAACTGAGATTCAGGCCTCAGGACCTCACACAGTTCCCACCTATTTCTAACAAATGAGTTCACGGTTATAGTAAAGCATTCTCTCCTTCAGCCTCCTCTCATTTATCGTAACTGCCACACTGTTTTCAGAGAGAAAAACCTGTAAAATCCTAACTTACAACGATTCATTTTTGTTAGGGCTTTAAACGCTCCCTTGCACTCCCTCATCAGGTGCGCTTGTTTCTAAGTCACTAATCCATGCTGCTCACAATTATCGCAATAAACCGACTGCATCTTTGTGTATGAATTAGTGTTCATACACAAAGTGTTAGTGTTAGTAGATCACCCAAGGAACTTTCCACTCCCACTGGTGCATTTTTGAAAATTTTCCTTATACTTATTTGCTTTACAGCTTGCAATAAAAACAATGTCTTGCTGGTGCAGGAGTGACTAAATCTGACCGTGGATAACATAATGAGAGCTTTGACCACTAATTTTGTCTTGGAGTCATGGAGTAACAGTTTTTAAATGATTATTTCTTTTATTAAGGAGAAAAAGTTATCCAAACCTGCTAAGTCCTGTGTGAAAAAGTAATAACCCGTAACAAGTGGTTGTGCCACTCTTGGCAGCAAGAACTACTTTGTAAAGTACTTTGTGATAACTATCAATCAGTCTTTCAGATCACTGTGGAGTTTTGGTCCACTCTTCTTTGCAGAATTTTAATTCCAATTCCATGAATGGTCTGTTTAAGGTCAGGCCAAAGCATCTCAATCGGATAAAAGTCTGAACTCACTCAGGTACTCCAAAACCTTCATTTTATTTCTTTTTTGGCCATTCAGAGGATTTCTTGCTGCCATGTTTTGGATCATCCTCCTGTATAATAAGAGTACTTTTAATGAGTCATAAGCTTTTATGTTCCGTTTAGTCAGCAGTGGTTTTCTGTGTCTCTTGAACTCTCCCATTGATGCCATTTTTACCCAGTCTCTTTCTTATATTTGCATAAGATCTTTGACCTTAACCCTTTAAGACCTACCATAGAACCAAGTCTGCCAGAGCTTACTTTATATTTTAACATGTTGTAGAGCCATTTTTGGGAGCATTTCAAGTTGCTATACATCAATACAACTGTTATAGCCCATATTTTAATAATATGTATGCATTAAGTCCATAGTAACTACATTAATTGCAAAAAAGTGCAATAAACTACAAAAAAATTGAAAATCTTTTTTGTTTTTGTTTTTTACATATATTTCTACTTGGAGAAATTTAAGAGGTTTATCCCTCAAAATTTTAAATACAAAAAAGTTGCAAAAAATAGTTTACAACAACAGGAAATTTATTTTGAGTGTCTTCATAGTTTTATTTTTGAGATACAGCAATTTTTATATACTGCAGGAAAAACGAAAAAACAATCCTATGATGCAAATTTGCAAAGAAAACAGCATGTGTATCAATATAAACTATTTCCAGCAGTGCAATTCGAGTTCTAAGCATCCCAGAAACTATTCAGAAAAGCATAAAGTCAAACATGACTTCTAAAAACACCAGTATAGGCTTTTAAGGCTTACAAGTAAAAAACTACATTTTCCACGAAAATGACGTCACTTCCGGTTTCGGGCAGGAAATAGCGTACATGCGAT